TTTTCTCTGGTTTCCTCCGGTTTTCTCCAGTTTTCTCTGGTTTTCTCCGGTTTCCTCCGGTTTTCTCCGGTTTCCTCCGGTTTTCTCCGGTTTTCTCCGTTTTCCTCTGGTTTCCTCTGGTTTCCTCTGGTTTTCTCCGGTTTTCTCCGGTTTCCTCCGGTTTTCTCCGGTTTCCTCTGGTTTTCTCCGGTTTTCTCCGGTTTCCTCCGGTTTCCTCTGGTTTTCTCTGGTTTCCTCTGGTTTCCTCCGGTTTTCTCCGGTTTTCTCTGGTTTTCTCGTGACTCTAGTGGAAATGTTCTGACCACCAAACAGTCTTTTTGACCCACAATCAGCCGTGAGTTCATCATGTTCAGTGTTTGTTAGCCAAGCTACTCTTTGAGCTAACAGTTTTAAACCATTTTACAAAATTCAAAATGTTTCATTTTTCTGTCAGTTATAATGAAAATCAAGCTTTGGATTCATTTAAAGCAAAGTTAATGATTTTGTGTGCTAAGATGGAAACAAATTGTGCCTTCAGTATCTGTAGATTGAAGCTAAATCTAACATTTGTTTAGGTCATTTAAAATGTGAAATGTTTTACGACCAGATGATCTCAGGTTTTTTATGTGATTTTATATTCCTGAGTCTCTGACGTTTGCTGTTCCTTAAACCTTTTCCTGCCTGTTGATTCGGTAGAAACTGAAATATTACGGATTCCAACTTTTGAACATGTTTTTCTGTTTGTTGAACTGAAACAGAGAAGATTTCTTCTTTTCTCGGATTTTCCTGTATAAGCAGCTCTTTGTTTAGCTGGATTTAAAACGTTTTTCCTTTAAGACTCGCCCAGTAAGGCGTTGGATCTTCTCCTGCTGTCTCCTGTGGAGAAAAGCCGTTTGATGTCCTGCGTGTCTCTGCGTTTCCCTCAGGAACCACGGTGATGACCATGACTGCGTTCGACGCAGACGACCCCGCCACCGACAACGCCGTGCTGCGCTACAACATCGTCAGGCAGTCGCCGGACAAACCTTCGCCCAACATGTTCTACATCGACGCAGAGAAAGGCGACATCGTCACCGTCATTTCTCCGTCCTTACTGGACAGGGAGGTGAGTCGGCCCAGCGCTCCCAGTCTGACCAGTGTGAGTTTGGACCGCAGACGGCGGTCAGATGGCCGGCGCTGACAGCTAACCTTTATGTTTGTCGTTCTGTGGCTTGTCTGGCCGCCAGCAGAGCGGCGTGTGTGTCTGGATCAGGTGTGTGTTTGTGTGAGCCAGACGAGCGTCTCTCCATTTCGCCGTCTAACCGGAGCGAGACGGCGGCGTGATTGCTTTTCTGGCAGGGTGACGAATGCCAGAACATCGATTGGGTTCGCTGGTGGAAGAGGAATATTAGCTGTTGTCAGACATTTAGCGAACGCTTTAATTGAGGTGATACACAGTTGGTCCTGGTGCTGTCCAACAAGCCCGGCTGAAAACCCGCCATCCGGAACTGCTGCAAGCATGGCGGCTAAGTGGCCTGATGAGCCAATCTCTGAGCCGCCGCAAACCGCTTAATGGAGGAGTAATTGATTAAAAGTACAATGAAATGAGATGTAATCAGAACCGCCAGCTCCGTTTGATGGGAGGCGGCATGTGGACCTGCAGCGCCGCGTTGGTTATCAGGGAAAAGCACATTCAGAAAACAGAACTTTGTCTTAAAGCAGCTTAAACTTTTCATGTTTTCATGTTAGAATTACAGAAATAATTTTATTTGCTCCATGTCGGGCTGTGACCACGCCCCAGAGAAACATTTCCGGGTCCATAAACCCGACCCAGTTACTCTGGTTCTGTCTGGATGAATGGAACAAAATCCCAGTAAAACCAGGAGAAGCTTCCAGAAAGAAACCCAGAAGCACCTGAAGTGTTTAACAGGCTGTTAGTCGTACAGAAGTGAAGGGAAAACGTGTTTCTGTGTGTGTGTGTGTGTGTGTGTGTGTGTGTGTGTGTGTGTGTGTGTGTGTGTGTGTGTGTGTGTGTGCACGTTGGACAGCCAGTCGGTTTATGATTCGTTCATATCCTGTTTCCTGGACGGATCGTCTCAAACTTCCCTGGAGTTTCATGGATTTATTCCTGATTTAAGAAATAATTTCTGGACTCTTCCTTCTGAGCCTCTCTGGCTGGAGCTCATCATGAAGTTCACTCCAACATGACGGCCGTCACTGTTTCACTGCGACGGAGGAAAGTAACGCTTCACACCAGAAGAAGTGAAACAGTTTGTGTGGAATATGTTGAAGAAACATAATTCAGGTGGAGCTCTGAGTGTTTCAGTCGACACCTGAGCCAGGAACAGGAAAGCAATCTAAAGAAGATTGGAAAATCAATTTTGTCACAGAAATCAGCTGAAGCTCCTTTACGGTTTTCTCCACCCAACTAAAACCCTTCCTGATATGCACATTTATTCCCCCCCCTCTCCCTGCTTTGCCCCCGCCCGGCTGATTTTACGCCGCGGTCGGATCGATGCGAGGCAGCGTGTTTGACAGCTAATATTTCTGCTCTGATGAGTTTAGCTTTATGAGCTCAGAAAGATCAAGGAGAGTCGTTATCGTTTACAGGAAGCCATTAAAATCAGACGTCACTAAAACCCTCACCTGTTGTCCGACGTGGGGCGGGGGGGTAAGAACCAGTAAACAGAGATCATTTAAAATCCTCTGTGGGATATTGTGGTTTTATAATTCTGAATATTTTAAGGAGTGTGTCGTTAGAAATCCACCATCAGGAAAACGTGATGCGGTTCTGGTCCAGTTTGACTCGGTTCCTCTTCACCATGAGCGCCGTGTTCATCCTGGGCTTATTGAACAGGTTTAATCTGGCAGATTATAACCCCACATTCAGCTTCTCTGGTGAATTTGATCAAATATGCTCATTAATATTTGGCTGAGAGTTAAACTTTGTTGAGTTATTCTGGCTGAATATTTCACTTTTCTCAGCAGGAAATATTCAGCTAATGGCTCTGCAGACCCCACACATCCTGGACACAAATTGTTCATTCTTTCACCTCCAGGGCGGCGCTGCAGCGCACCGTTTGCTGACGCAGTCACCATGGAAACTGTAGGTCTGATCACCCCACAGCCTGACGTTAAGAGATTTTCTCCCTGTTGAAGAAGCTGAGACTCCCAGCTTCTTCTGTGATGAAACAGGAAGTATATCTGATGAAACAGGAAGTATATCTGATGAAACAGGAAGCATATCTGATGAAACAGGAAGTATATCTGATGAAACAGGAAGCATATCTGATGAAACAGGAAGTATATCTGATGAAACAGGAAACAGGAAGTATATCTAATGAAACAGGAAGCATATCTGATGAAACAGGAAGTATATCTGATGAAACAGGAAGCATATTGACACTGGAGTGAAGCCACTTAGTGAGCCGTTCTCCCAGATGCAGACAGACGTTCATCACTGCAGAAACTCCCAATCTTCCTCCAGCTCTGCTGTTCCTGGTCATGTGATCTGATCTTCACTACATCACTGAACAAGACGCGCCTTGCAGAGAGACCATCAGAACATTCTGGGCCCAGAGTGGAGTCTCTACAGGAAGAGGAAAATAATCCAGGATAAATGAAGTTTAAGTGCAGCGATGAAAGGATCCTGTTTCCTGACTGCCGGATGAACAGCAGCTTTTCTAATCTATTTAAGTCCATTCAGCGCCTGGTTTCGGTTCTGGTCGGCTGAAGACAGAGCCGGCGGCGGCCTGCTGCTGTGATCAGATGATGATGTCATCAGGTGTGTGGGTGTGACATCATAAAGCTCCTGTGGGGTTTTGCTCCTGAAGGTGACTGTGTGTTTTCTGAGTTCGCCTCTAATCCACTTCCTGTTGCGTTTCTGAGCTGTAATCAATCATCAGATCATTTCCAGTCCTCTGCACTGTAAACATGTTTATGTTCTGTTATCTGTTTGCGCTGCGTCGGTATAAATGCAGATAAAACGGAGGTAATTATGGCTGCTGGGTGACCTGAGCGACCTTGGCGGTGGCCTGCTGATGGCGCCGAGCCGATAAGGAAGCTCATGGTGTGTAATGGCTTGTTTGGCCTGTGAGCTGAATGACTGATGACTGAAACGCGGCCGGCTTCCCTCCCAGGAACAAACGCTGTGATCTCCTCCGGCTCCTTCATCCTCCTCGCCGGCCTCTTCTTCACATCGATTTCTTGTTTCTCCAGGTTTCTGCTTTGTCTTCCCGCCTCTCCGTCCACCTCTCTTTGTTTCTGTCAGCCTCGTCTCCCACTCCTGTCAACACTTCACTGTGGACATCCAATTACCGGCGGGTCGTAGCGAAGCTGCTCCAGTCAGAGCGCTGCGCTCGGCGCCGCCTCGGATATTCAGATTACAGCCGCCTCCGGAGTTGCCGCTCCGCAAAATGTTGCTTTCAAACATTTCTGGGGCCGCCACCTAATCTGATCCCCACAAACATAATTGAATGTCAGTCTTCACATAAAGATGCTCTCCTCTCTTCAATTAGCATCTCGTTTCCTGGTGTCGCACCGACGAGTCAAAGCAGAGCGAAAATATTTACTCCTCCCAGTTAGAGGCCGGCCGCAGAGACTTAATATATTATGTCATTTATATGCAAATAATTCAGCGCACGGAAAACATTGATAAGATTTCATTACCTCAGATTTTGATGTTCACTTCAGTTTATAAACAGCCATTTATTCACCAATTATGATGTGGAGATTGGAAAGGTGTGAGGAGGCGAGCGGGTGGAGATGCTCTGGTCCTGGGAGGAGCGGCGGCGTGAAGACGTTCATCAGGCTGGCGATGGGGGGGCAGGGGTAACCACCTGGGGTGAGGGGGGTCAGGTGTAACCAC